CCGTTTGGCGTCACGTGCGCCGTGTGCGACCTAGAGTCACTAAATAAAGCTACGCTTTCAGAGTTCCGAAACTCCCAAACTATGCGTCTGAAGCACGACAGGAGCCGCCATCTTGGGTCCGCGCGCAGATGGAGGAGTGACTGTAGCTGAGCCGAGCCGAGCTGTAGCCGTCGACTGCTGCAGCTGCCGCGGTCGCAACTGTGGCAGCGAATCAAAGTCGCGTTGTTCGTATCTCGACGCAACACCGAAAACGCGCCAGCTGTGCGACGAACTTCAGCGTGCGCACGAAGTAAACAAACACCAGCAGGCAGAGGATCGCTGGACCCAAGATGGTGGCGTTGAAAAAACGCGATGATGATGATAACGACTCACGTGGCTGCCGCTGTCCAATGATACCGCAGCGAACCTGAATATTATTGAATAGAGCGACTCTATTGTCGGCAAAATGCCAAAGAAAAGGAATGCGGTACTCTGAAAGCGTAGCTTATTTAGTGACTCTGGTGCGAACTAGACTATATATAACTCTATATGAAGCAGTTACTCTAGCGCGACCTAGTGTCACTAAATAAGCTACACTTCAGAGTAACGACACTTGGCCATTTTGTGTCGTAAAATCATGGTTGCCAGTTATCTGAAGCTTTATCTGAAATCACAGGAAACACTTTTCCGCTGTCTACAAATGTTTCAACAGTTCGTGACAGAGCAAAGCAATATTGCATGAGGTTCCTAACACCGAATCTAAAGCTGAGAAAGTCGCACTTTTGAATCATGACGATCGGCAGTGGCGTCTGCTCTGCATACGAGCCAAAATGGCGGCGCCCACAAGAATGCCGGGGAACGGAGTGACGATACTCTAAGCGCAGCTCATTCAGTGGCTCTAGCGCGACCGATTCTGGTTCGTCGGACGAGCAGCAGCGGGAATCGGGCGCGTGCGCGTTGCGGCAGTGTGTCGAGTAACGCTCCGCTGGTCTTCCTTCTTCACGAGAGTGGAAAGGCTGAACGTTTTTTCATTTTTTTTTTTAACATATGCCTTTTGCTTTTCGATTCGAAGGGGGCAGAGGGGGTAATTGCTCCCCTCCTCCCTAGACGTGCGTATGTGGGGTAAAGGGGGGAGGGAGGGGCGCTTCGTCGACTTTACGACAAATAATTTCCTACAACTATACATATAAGTATTCCTCAACCCCGTTCAACGCATTGATCCTTCCTACTTGCATAATCAACATCGCAACGAATGATTAGAGCATGCCCGTTTTGTATCAGGGCGTCCGGGAACAGACCGATCTCACCAGCCAGCCCTCACATGTACGGCCATTTGCCTCCCGTAAACTAACGCTATGGTGGCGTCACGCATGTACCGAACGCTTAATGAGATCGGTCTATCAACAAAGTCCTTCGGCTATTTCGCCCAACGCCCTCCGAATATTTGAACTCTGAATTATGTTTCCTAATATTCGCGCACTTTTCGATTCAAACGTTATTTAATAAAACGAGTACATGTAAAAGTTTTGTTTGAATGGAATAAGATAAGCTTACGGCTTGCTCCTTTTTGCTACTCGCAAATCCACACGTGGCGACGCCACCAACACGAGACCTGAAGCAGAGAAGCGAAGCTTCGATACCACTTATTAACACACTCTCACGTGTACATTACAACAAGAGACTGCACGAAGGTTTTATCCTTTGGAGCCTAACTTTATTCGCTCCAAAAAGCCGTTAGCGCAACATAACTACGCGCTTTCCTGTCGCACTTCACGCGCTCGTCGTCGTCGTCTCTGTCGGTCGGTCTACTCACTCCTCTTCCCTCCCTCTCGACACAGGACCGCATAAAGGCCGATCACGACCATTGCTGTTATTACAGCTGCGGCCGCTGAGGCTGCCAAGAGCGTCACGTAGGACGTTCGGTTCTTCGACTTCGTGTAAACAACCTCCGGGTCATCGTCATCCGTGGGTACGACCCACGTAGTTTCCGTGGACGGCGTCGTTGCGGACGCGGTAGGGACAGTGCTATCGGCTATCGGAGTTGCTTCACTGACAGCTGTTAGTCCTTCACTGGTGTTTTCAGATGCTCTACTGGCTGTCTGTGGTCCTGCACCGGAGACCGTAGCGGATATGTTTCCTGCCGGTGATCCTTTACTGGGGATTGTGTGTGGGCTGTTGGTGCCGGTGGTCGATGTCACAGGTGAGGGCTTGAGTCTGGTGCTCCGAACCACCGGAACAATGTTGGACACGGGCGAAAAGACACCTCGCTCATTCTGAGTGCGCATTCCGAGTCGGATGCTGCCTTGCTTGCCGCCCGACGTGGACACCAAGTCCTGGGGAAGCTGGATCCTGACCGCTTGAACCCTTTCGGTGAAGGCGACGCAATGCAAGAAAGAACGTCAATTTGGTAATGAAGGGAGAAGTGACTTCGTTACGGGCTTTTGTTACGCTACTTGTTTCATCTGGGAATGCGAAACCTTGAATTTTATTAGCGAAACACGAAGATTTCTACTCCGCTGTGTCTTCGCCCACTCCCTGACCTTAGTTTTTTGCTAACATAATGCAGCTGCTTTCATTCACAGAAGAGGTGACATTCGTTTTACATCTCCACGAGTCTCAAACTGAAAATGCTGCGTCGAGTGTTATATGGCAAAAAAAGAAAGCTAGGTTTATTTTTATTCTTAGGGAATAATGTGGCAATACGATAACCTGGAAATATTTATGAATTTATACTGCCCCTAACGCGAATGAATGCGTCCATAGTGTCACATTCACTGGCGCTCACTTCCGCTCGTGCTGATTATCTTTTCTGACTGACTGATGTCAACCATTAGGATGCAGACAGATTTTATAAACAGAAAAAAGTATGTGCAACGTTTCCTCGAGAGCCCCTGCGTAGTTACAATCTGTCTGAAGGTCATAGCTCTGTTAAAGTTTGCTACGATATGTTGTATTATGTATCCGGAACATAGCGCGCAATAGTAATGCCGACTTATTTTCACACAGACGAGCAGATTCAGCGAGCTTATGCCACCTTGATTCGACTGAATTACACGCAGCCGCCATTTTTTATGCTACCGATTGTAGTGCCTCGATGCGGTTTTACAACAAAGCTTGCGGGCTTCGGTACTCTACAAACACTTAGCCGCTTTAATTGATACTACACCGATGCTCCGGCACGCAACATGGCGAAAGCTTGCCTGTGTAAAGCAATTTAATTCATTTCCTCACAGCGGAGAGCAGCAACTGAAATGTTGAGTTACAATTACAGGTACTGAGAGTGGTTACGGGCCGACAAGGTGAGGAATAGGGGCAGACGAAGAGTTCCCGGCGACTTGAGGACATCGAGCTGTACTTGGAATGAATAGTGGGTAGACCTAAAACCTTTTTCTCAACTGTACTCGTCGAACGGGTTCAGGTGCGAAATCCAAACGCCGGAAGCCGCCGCTCCGCGTTCTAACGCGTTTCAGGAGTGCAGTGGAAACAAAGGCATCTGGCTTTAGGTCTTCCCACTATTCAATTAAACCAGAGCTCGATGTTAGGACTTCCCCGCGCGTTCTGATCTCCTCCTCCCCCTTCACTTTCTCGGCCCATAACATTACACTCGAATAACTCAAACTATTGACGACATGCGCGATCGAAAGCGTCGCTGTGGTCGGCCTACCACGATTGGCGGAATGCTGACTATGACGTCAGCAAAGGTTTTCTTATGAACTTAAATAAGAGTAATGTAAGAACTTTATTTTTGACGGTGTTGGCAGTGTTGGTTTCTGAGTGTAACGATTTCAAGCTTCTATAGGAAGTATTCACTGGCGGCCATAGTTGTGTGCGCGACTGCTGAGCGCCTGCTGATAGCGAGCTTCCACGGTTCTTTTGCAACGTGCATTCCACACCATCAGGATTTCCGGTCTTAGCAGCCTATTAATGTGGGCTCGTTCTCAGCGTGCGCTCTACACTGCACCCACAAATATGGCGTCCAGTGAATACTCGCTATACCTTGCTAATTACAAACAATATCGAACTTGTTGTTCGCAAGGTAATGACGTCACGAGAGGAAACCTATGCGAGCGCGCCACCAAAACATCTCGCCGCTAATTGTCCCTGACAATGTGAGAACGTGTTTAACTAATGGTTAAAAGCGCTAAAAAGACAAACACAAGATAGAAGACAAACACGGCCGCTTTTAACCATGGTTTAATACTGTCAACACCAACTAGGCCAACAAAAAGCGCTTTTACAACGTGAGAACAGTAGCCAACTTCAGCACGAGAGCTGGAAGTCGCTGCTTCGAAGCGTTCTTCCGGAGATTGAGCGCTCGTACTAGGAGTCATTGCCTCCTCTATACTCACAAAGCCCGACATTTCGACGACGAAAGAGCGCCCGGTTGCAGATTTGGAGCGTGAGGATCTGATAAGACAGAGCACCAAAGAGCCATTTCTCGGGGAATCTGGACGTCAGCGAACAGTATTTTTAACGGCGAGGACCCGAAACACACTTGTTCGCTCAGGAGAAGTGTGTTTCGGCGTCTCGCCGCAGCGTGGCGCCAGTCACGTGGCTCTTCTCACAACCGTTGTCTGCCGCTCCACCTTTTCCATTTCGGCGGCCGCTTTTCGTGCCGATCTGCCAGGCTTTGTCAGTATATAGATGGCTATGACGGAAGGCATGGAGGGCGTGCTGGAGGACGGGCGTTTCAAGGACACGTCCTCCCGTTCTCACTCCTTCGGTGGCTATGTATATCGGGGACTCGCTGCTAGACCACTCTTTTATTAACAAGAAACCAAAAAAATCAGTATTTAATATAAAAACAATACTGCGTGTAATCGCTCCCATCCTTGTCCAAATGAGCGGAAAATTCTTTTCTAAAGAACGTGTCTCAGCGGTTTTCAAGCTGAATATGTTTTGCCCGGCCACGTTACAACAAGAACAACAACAAAAATCCGTTTGAGCGTGAAATGAGCTGTCAAGGTTCAATAGGATCTCGTAAATCCGTTAATTCTGAACACAATTGCCTCAGTGATTTCTTACTCGTAAGGGCTCAGAGGAGTCAAGGACCCCTCTAGGATGTGCGCTCCTAAGATCGGCGTCGCGTTGTCGAACCTGTAAATCAGCTCACGAGTGTTCAGGCTCGCTCTGAGATCGGTGAGGGTTGCTGCAACACAAGGGAGACCGCGTAATCAAAATTATTAGGGTGAGCTATTTGTATTAGAACTTTTAAACAATTATTAGCGCGAAGGACAAAAGAGGACAGGAAGATTGTTCTTATCTGTCCTACGTGCTATTTATTGTTCATAACGCTCATTATCGGACACGAGGGTAAGATATAGAATTCAGGCTCAGAACACAGTTGGAAGAGTTCGGTATATCATCCGGTGCCAATATTGGTCAATAACCAAGACCGCAGCATGACGCGGGCATTTCCGACTACCATACGTAGCTGTATACCACCCACATAACTCCTTCGTCGAGAAAGACGTCAGCCCTCGGATATCAGGTTTTCGATTCTTACGTTTGACAAGACACGGCGAAATAAACAGGTGACAAATTTTCTTAAACGGATCAGCATTTTCTGGGTCCTGTGGTTTAATTTGAAGCCGCACTGAGGGAAAAAGAAACAGTGCTGGAAAACAGTAGGTAGAAGAGCCAAACCTAGTGCACAACTATGCGAGCAACTAACTAAAGTTATTAATATAAGCTATGGTCAATCCTTTAATTGTTTGTAACCAAACTTGTACTATACTCATTGCAATTCTTAAGTATTAAAATTACTTATAATCCATTACTTTTTTTTAAACAATCGTGTTATATCCCTTGAATCCGTTTATTAGGGTGTAATCACAAGAGGAATCTGATTACTTTTGGAACTACTAGCAATGCTCGTAGCAGTTACTATATTTTCTTCCCCTTTCTCATGGAGTCCTTTGTTTTTCTACCAAAAATCATTGAACCAAGTCTCTGACATGAGGATGCTTCAGCAACAACAACAAAGTTGTGTGTATGTTTACACAGCCGGAAGCCTGCCTCAGCGGGCGTCTGCTGTCTTAGCCGCAGATGATCAATTCAGCCAGTGCAGTACAACCGCTAGCCTGGGGTCTTTAACGTCCACCACGCAGTAGTGATACACGACCGCACGCCGGTACGATTCTCATCCAAATCGAAACGGGCAGGGGTGGTGATTGAACCCGGGATCCCTGGCTTCTGCAGGGCGAGCTTTCGCCCCACGTGCTCCGAGCTGGAGTGCGCTAGCCCACTGGGCCACCGATCCCCCTACTTCACCGAAAGCAGTGAATTAAGAAGAAAAGTGGCTTATAATTCGCTGATTCTGATTCAGTAATGAAGAGCACAAAATACCCGTTAATAAACCGGCAAAAACAAAATTGTCCTTTCCGAAAATTTGAAGTAATCGAAAAAGTAGCGGTTACTTTTTAACTAACGTTCGATTCCTTGTCTTATGAAGTAATCAAGTAATTTAATTGAGCACTTGTAATTTATCGCACGCAAGAACCATTCTCACTCGAAACCCGAACACCAGTAAAACAAATGAATGCCCCATTCAGCGCTATCACCTCAGTGGTGTATGACGTCTTCTTTTCTACACCTTCGCACACTTACCATATTTCGTTACTTTCTCTTGGTTGCTTGCCTAACCAAGTGTAATTGTAGTGGATTACGTTTTTCGAGTAACATGCTCAAGACACGTTGTGTGTAGCGTTTTGAATGCATATCCCCACAAATCCGGTAGTACTATACCATTAGCGAGTTTTAGGGAACCGAGTTTGCACATCCGATCCGGTCCCCTGGGCCTTTCGGTACGAACTGCGCAAGCCCGACCACAAAAGACTCGCACGTGCGCAGTTCGTACCGGAGGGCCCAGCGTGTGCAAAAACGGTTCCCAAAAACGTTTGTCAAAGGGACCATGAAATGATTTTAAAATCGAATTTCATCCACCGCACGTCGTAAAAGGTGTGAAAAGAAACACAAAAACACAAAAATAGGGAGCCCAAAAAACTTATTTGCTATAAAACTTTTAAAAGAAAACTGGACTCTTTTGCGACTTCTTTCCTTCGAAAGCTCTGCCTTTTCACTACGATGCATCCGCAGAAACGGAGCACGTCAGCCGAATCCACGTCGCCTATTGGGTAAGAGCCTACCTCACCAGCACCGCGATCGTAAACAATAAATAGCCGGCGAATGTTTCCTAAAAGTTTTGTTAAATAATATTCAGATCCACATTTTGTAGCATAATTAGAGATGTGTGGCGAAAATTGCCAAATTTGATAATGCTGAGAGCCAAGCGCCATCTATCGTGTGGTAAACGAAGCAACTACTGCGCGTGCGCAGTAGGGCAGGGCCGACTTCAGAACGGTTATTTCCTTTGGTTTCCTTCCTCTCAAAACTCTGACTGACTGAACGTTTATTTTTCTACGTGTTCATCTCGCGCGTGCCGACTTCAAGCAGCAAGAAAAAAATGTACTTAAAACAGACCACGACGAACAAGAACGCTGGATCCACAACCACCCGAGAAGAGCGACAACAGCCGCGAATCCCGCTCCGACCAAGCTCTCAGAATATAGGCCTAGCAGGCACTCCGACTCGGCGCAGCGTTGCTTCGTCGCAAGACCGTCTGTCTGCCTACGACCGGCTGGCGTGCTGAATGGAATATGCCCGCGCTACCCTTGTGGACCCTTCCCGTATTATAGTTTGATCGCTGACCTCAATTTTAGGTTAAGAGGTGAGGTCAATCTCTTCCCCTTGTTTTCCGAGGCAGTGTTGACGAACACTCGTCGAAAAGGGACCCTCGTCGAGTCTCTCTTCTTGTTTTGTGTGATATAGAGCTGAAATAAACGCTGAATGGATTACCTTCGTAACACGGTATGTACACTTTGTTATTGGTATGCCATTTTTATTCTGACAGACTGCACGTCACTGTCGAGCTGTAACAGTTCGTGGGAGGTATACGCGCAATACCGCTCCAACCTTTCTTTGCCGAGTGTCGCGTCAGTATCGAGGTGCAATCGTAAAAGATCGGTCCCGAAGCGCTTACCAACAGCGCGAATACACCACTTCCATCAAACGCGCGCGTCCGCTCCGAGTGTGAACAGGTATTTACGTGGCTCTTGCTGACACTCGTAGTTCAAACGTATCTTTTTTAACGTCGGCTCGCTCCTGCATCTCCGAGACCGCGAAAAACGCCGCGGCAATTTGTTTCCATCTACGTCGCTTTGCAAACGACTGACACTGGCCGCCTTTTACCAACAATGACAGTTGGGTTGACTTCTGGAGTCTTCACCGGAAGACTCGATGCACTTCCCAACAGGCATACCGGCGTATGGGACTAGTCCCATGCTGTCGCTGTAGCGCAACGTATCTCATTGAATTTCGCTCAGCTGCGATGCCGCGATGAGAGGCGCCGATTCAGAAAATACGTCGGTGACATCGGCGCAGTAAAACCTACCGGCGCACCCCAACTCGTCGCCGCTAACGCTCCCATCTCCTACTGCCGAGAGAACTTCCGGTTCCGGAAACAGCGTACGTCACGGCTTGTTTTGCGGTCAAGAAAAAGTCGATATTTCATTAATTTTTTGTGCAGAAGTTAATAAACCGAGACGAAAACGGATGCCTGTTCGGCATTCAGTGAACATTGACGGTTTAATGTAAAAGTTATCTGGAAAAAGTAAAAAAGTCATTTCATGGTCCCTTTAATGCGGTAGCGTTAATATGCTACATGACAGGGAACTGTTGACGTTGTCCGTCCGCGGACAAAACGGTGAAAAGGGAAGCGCGCCGCGTAGAGAGGAGGAGAGTAGTGAAGGACAAAGGCGAGAGGGAGGCGACGTCACGGGGCGGAAGCCAATGAGCGCGCGGGAAACCGGTGAACAGCGAAAGCAGCGTGAGGCAGGGGATGCCGTTGCTAAGCAAGGCGGGCCAACGAGACCGAGGAGCGGAAGCAGTGCCTAGCTCGGCTGGCCGAAGTCAACACCTCCTAGAGAAGAAGGCCAGAGCGCTCTGAGAGGTTACGTCACAATGGCGGAGGAAGGAAGTCCATGGCGCAACTACGTGAGAATACGCTATCGATGTGAAAACAATGTCCCTCGACAAGCGGCGCGGTGGTGTTCGTTCATGCGCGTTTATCCGACATTAATATACGTTTTAAAGGCGGAGTCTTGTACAATTTATTATATATATAATATAAACGTATTATATAACGCGCTACCAAGGTTGAGAGTACCAAAATTATATTTATGAGTATTCCCGTAACCACGGGACTACGTGCAGTTCCGCAGCACCCCACACTTTTCGAAAGGACCGGTTGCGATGCTGCTGATGCCACATGGCTCCGATTCTGGTAAATTTACGTTGTGTGTGAGCTGCTGACTGTCTGAAAAGGAACGCTGAGACATTTCAGAAGGGAAGTAAACCGAAAAGAAATCCAGTCGTTGTCGCAGGGAGCGCACACCAGCAAGAGATGGGTCGACAACGTTAAGCCTTTCGTCGCCGCTGCTCTCGTGTGTGGTACTTTTGAGACTTGTTTCCCGTCGTATTTCTGTCATCACCGTAGTCTCGGGTAGTTTTTTTGTGTGTTCGCTTGATACTACGGCATTTACGTGCATTTGTGAAACAAGTCCTGCTACGGTTTGAGTGACGTGTGACAACTAGCCAACGAAGGCTCTGGTCGACTAATCGATAGACCTCTCTTGACAGAGAGAGGCTTCTTGGAGTTTGTATTCAAATGTGTTCGTCACGGATATTGTGGGACGTATGGATACGATCGACAGGTGAGAAACAACTTATTTACGGGCTTTCTTGTTCATGTAGGACGCAAGTAAGATGCTGCAATTGTTTTTTTTTTTTTTAATCGCATGATAAATTGCAATTTTGTTCCTTGTCATTATCCGTATGCAGTTGCGTCGACATTTGTAAATATGCGCGCTAATCAAGTTTTCACTGGAAGATGAAAATCAAGTTTGTGTGATTATTGAAAGTGAGTTGTTTGTGATTCTGTGTTTATTTATACTAAAGTTATTTTATTGCCTTTTCCGCGTTTATACTACAATCTTAACTGTATTAAGGTGATAGTATTATTATATACAAAACAAGTTATGTTTTGTTCTAAGGCAGCTCGAGCCCATAGGGAGAAGTAAATTAGTAGACTAAGTAGTAAGTTTAGTACCCCTGCCACAGGGAAACGTTAATATATTTTCATTCAGTGATATAGGATTTAATCAGCTCGCGGTCTTGAGTGATTATACGAGCGCCGCAAGCGGATTTGTCGACCCTATAATGTCATTCGACCGAAATTACATTAATTTTGCCATGTGGCCGGGGTATGATGCAAGAATTCAGTGACTGCACGCGATAACGTCGCTTACATGATCGTGAGAAACGCTTGTTTTGCCTTGTCCGCGTTGACTATGTCTACCTGATTTTTAACTGTTCTGTTTTGCTGTTTCAAAATCACTGCGTGTCTCGCCATTTTGTCAAAGTATTTCTGTATAAAATATGCATTCCTACAACAATAACTGCATGACTCAATGTTTTCGACTTAAAACAATCACATTTTTCGATAGACGTCTTGTACGCATACCTCGTGCCATTTCGTACCGATTATTTAGCGGTGTAATATTTTGCTCGTGTAATAAAATGTTTTCTAGACCCGTTGCTATCTGCAGCTTTCATTTTAGCTAATAAGACACGCGTATGTGACTAAAAACGCGTTACGACGGTCGATCTACGCGCGTTGCATTCGCTTCGACGCGCGCCCCCAATGGCCTTCCTTTGCGACGTCACGAGAAGAGCACTACGGCCTTGTCTTCTAGGAGGTGTTGCCGAAGTGCGGCGCAAGAGGCGGCACGCGGGTCTGAGTGCGACAAAGGCTGGGGCGAAGCGGGCTCGCCGAGCCCGCTTCGCCGGAAAAAATGAAAGGAAGATCCGTTGGGGGATCCTTAGAGAATGCGTTAGCATGGCCTTTGGAAAACGCCACATATGTCCCCCTTTGGGGAAAGCTAATACAAAAAGTCGTGCTGACGGAATCCCCAAGAATCCATCCATGAACCTACCTTTAATTTTTTTTTTTTCCGACGATTCGGAAACAGTAAAGAGGGATAACTAGCAAAACTCTAGGAAACGAAATCATACAAATGTTTCTAATAAACTAATGAGAGCACGCAGGATAATATACGAACTTGTACACGCCGTATGCATTTATTATAAGTTCCGACATGTTTATTGGGGAAATCATTGACTGCATTATTCTCTTTTCAATTGGGGATCAAACACATTGCAATGTTTGTTCTTCTCGCCGAATCGACGCTCGCTCACCGTTCTCACTGTCAAGGTGGGCGCCCATGCACGTCCACGACAGCTTCACTGACAACTTGCCGTCCTTCTTCTTTACGCCCAAAACCTTCAAATCACGGACAGGTGCCGGCGGCAGGTCCTCTTTGGTGGCGTTCTCTTTCACCTGGAAGACGCCGCCGAAGGACACCAGCCCTATCTCCGAGTCTCCCGTTGGCCACTGGTACTGTTGCAATGGAGAGACGGCGAAAAAAGAGAGCAGGGAATGAACCAGAAGAGGTCGATAACACTACGCAATAAACCATTTTCAAAGCTCCATCGAGCAGCATTAGCGGTCGCCATTTTTTAGACACAAGAAGACCCAACTTTACTAGATCAAAGTCATTTGGCAAGCTTCCTAGAACACCCGGCGCCCTTTTGTGGCGCGATGGCTCGGTGGCGCTCGCCAAACTATCAGGTTTTGTTTCAACCTACCTGCACAGACAGAAGCGACGGAACCGGTAATACGTTGTATTTACCTTGCCCGCGGTGGAAAGTGAGCCTATTGTGATTTTATAGTAAACAAAGATTGTGAAGAAGTTTGCTCAAAAAGAGCATCGTTCCAAAATGGTCCTTCTCCTTTGTGCGTAGGAGCGGTGCCTCTGGTGGCGCAAGGATCGCTATCCCCCGTACCTGCTCGCGTGCGGGCCACGGAAAAGGTCCGTTTTAAACCGACTCTCCTCCATAGAGTGTGTCAACTGATACAAAGAAGAATGTTTATTAGACCGATCTCACCAGGCAGTTGGACTATGCCACCGCCGGAGCAGCCATGCATCGTGGTTCATCCTTAAAGGGAAGCTGAAGCGGTTTTAAATATGAGAAAAAAAAAAACACTGGAGCCTGGGTAATTAGACTGCAGCCATCACGAATATCAAATTCGGTTGGCCATTTTATGCGTGGATTAACCGGAAAAGTGCTATCAAAGTAGTGCTGACGCCCCGCCCCTTCGAAGAAGAGAGAAGGGGCGGGAAAGAAGGGGCGAGAAAGCGATTACCTCTTAATAAATCTATACATATGATTGCAAAGTTACTCCAAGAGGTAGTCCATTATTGTAATGAGTACCGAAGAAGTCTGGCTAGAAGGGAAGCTGTGGCAATTGAGCGGGCGGGAGCGGTGCAGAGATTCCGCCTCCGCTTCGCGAGCCAACGCCTCTGGAACCAATCAGGGAGAGCCAAAAGTGTATTGTCACGGTTCTTGTCGCCTTTGTGCGTTTTTTATCACCTCACCGACTGACCCAATATTACGCACAGAAGGGAAGGCATACGCCGCATTCACTGTGCGTAATTGTAGCAAACGGAAAGACGGCGAGTATAATGACGATGCACTTTTGTGACGCTGCTTGATGGACCCCCTCAGACTGTGGCGTTTGTTGCGGTCAAACTTAAGATGAGACCGGCTGTAAAAAGCGGACTATCATCTGCGCGTCGATAGCACGTGCCACCCCGCGTTCCCACAAAGTGCATGAGACTATCGGGTCGTATTACTGACGAGACTGTCTATAACGAAGTCAACGGGAATCGCAAATCGCTTCGATATATCCGCTATTTCGATATAACCGACTTCAGGTATAACGAAGTGCAAAAGGGAATCGTGATCGCTTCGCTGTAGCCGCTGTCTTGTTGTAACCGACTTCGTTATAAGTGTACTGGAAGGGTAGTGTTGCTCGCCATCACGGATCGCAGTTGTGAGGCTGCTGTCGACCTCCAGGTGGTATACTCTGCTCTGTCACTACCGTCTGAAAAGTAAGACCTGCGGCTCCCTCTTCCATACGTCATCGGAAGCGGATCCACAGCTCCGCCTAGCTCGTGTCAGGGTCGCCGCGAGTGCGTCTTGCAACGTCTTATGACGAACGCGACGGTATAGGACGAACGGTTAGGCCGCTTCGCGGCGTCTTTCGTTCAGCTTCAACGTGTTTGGCACTCGCGGTAGGTCGGCGGTCCACCGACAATGACGTCACGCGCGGGCCTTTTCTTCTGGGCGGCATCGGTTTGGCAAAGCGAGCGATCGTCCCACCTCACATTCTGGCTCACCGTAACCCGCTGGTACGTCGTAGAGATCACGCAACTGTTTGTACCTCGTGGTCAGTCATGCCCAGTCTTGTACACGCTACTAAAAAAAAAGTAATCAAGTACAAATACTTTCGCTCAAAAAGTATTCGGTTAGATTACCTGATTAGTTGAAGAAAAAAAGTAATTGGCGATTAGTCGAAGAAGTAACCGGTACTTTTCCCGATTACTTCCGATTTTCAAAAGGACAAATTTTTCTGCCCTTTTGAAAAGGGTCTCAATTTTACTGTCAATCATTGAATTAGGATCACCAAATTTTAGTTCACTTATCTTCTTAATTTACCGATTTTGGTAAGCCATCCTCCCGTCGGAGACAATTGGTTCGAAGAATTTATAGAAAATATGTACAAACAAAGAGTGCCACAAAAAGGGGAAAAAAATTGTGACAATTAGAAGTAATTTTATTATTTCCAAAAGTAATCATATTCGTTTTGTGAATGCTACCTAATAAAGGTAATCAAAATAATTCAAGGTTACACCAAAAATAATTACATACAAGCAAGTTTACTTCTTGAGATTAGGGATGTCGCGAACCGGCCGAGGTTCGAGTTCGACAAGGTTCGACTTTATCGACCTTTCGGTGTAATGTTCGACGAACCTTGTATTGAAGTTCGACGGATGTGCGCCTGCACGACAGGCTGGCCAGTTGGCTTCAGATTGGATGGTGATGGCTAAGGGATGAATTAAGGGCAGCGCTGATTGGGTTATTTCAGTTAAAACACCACAAAAAAATTAAGTTATTCAGTGATTAAAACTGGTTTATTTTAATTGCAGCTGTTCATAAAATAAAATAACCCTTTGCTTAAAAAAATATTCTCCAAACCTAGACATGCTTGTATCAAGGTCTGGACACAATGCCCATGAAGTCGAACCGGTCAAATCGGTCGAATCTGATGAGAAGTTCGAAGGTTCGTCGAACCGGTTCGACCCTGCCGAACCCCGGAAGTTCTACCTAAAAATAAGGTTCGACAAACGTTCGCGACACCCCTACTTGTGATGAGTGCTGTACAAGTCTGGGCATGCCACGACAACTCGGGACAAATGTTGTCCATCAGAACCAACGTTTTGGTTTCGGTTTCAGTTGTTGCCTAAAAGGAGCTTACAAAAAAAGCATATTTTACTTTAACTGAAACCAATAACGTAAGGCCATTTATCAGTACTTATTATTTTAAGAATCAATTATTATCCTTGATGTCTCGAAACTGCAAAAATCCAGTTCTTCGTAACGCTTGAGTGATTTAGTTTAATCAGAAACATGTTTATTTTACGACCGTTAGTGACACAAAAACTTTGGAAAGTGCGCAAAATGTAAATGTTGGCAAGTTCACGAGCCCCGCATATTTTTTTGTTTTATTTTGTGTTACTAGTTGATTTCTGTTGTAGGAATTAACTTGAAATGACTCACAATTAAGGCACCAGGTAAACCGCGCCTCGACTTTGATTCCACGTGGCTCGCACTTCTGCACTCTTCGGAAGAACTTGAGGCTTTACACGTCTCATCACTCTCCATATCTGTTTTTACATGTACAAAAAAATTAAAAGGCCATGTTACTCAACCGTTATAACTTATAAGATATGGTTACATTGAGAGATGCTACAATATGCCTTGTTTTTAAATTACGGTCTCGAATGGCTTTGTGTGGTCTGGCAGATCTTCTGATTAAGCCCGATCTATCAAAAAAGATTATCTACATTTACGTAAAGCAGAGGGACTGGACCAAATAGGTGTATCAACAGTCCGTTTTTTATATCGCCGCTTATTCCATGGGGATTGATATTGGGAAGTATGCGTATTCATAACTCCGCAAAAAATGAGCTTTTTTCGTGATGGCAAAGCAAATACAATAATATTACTGATTCAAACTCTGTAGCGTGATAAACATTTAATCAGCGCAGTGATTTTCACAAACGTCATTGCATTTAATAAGGATAGAAAGTAACGAACTTTCAAAGCGCTTAAATTAGACAATTTATAATTTTTGAATTACAAATGAAAACAAATCGAACGTTTTTGTTTTGTTTTTACGATTGGAGATCTCAAGAAATTGGTTCACATTTTCAGAGGTTATGCGACCCCATGGAAACTTCTTTTCTTTTTAATTGAGCTCGGCTCAAGCTACCCCTATAGCATACTTTAAATTAATCTTGAAGAGTGTCGCATTTTTTGTCAAGTTCAAAAAACAATTATTGAATTTAGTATGTTCTTCGTGCTCTTGATCTGACCTCAACTTAAATCTCGGTGACTGTACAAGCGCCGCTGGAGAGATCGCAAATGACCGCACCTGATTTCAGCTCGCTCAAAAGAAATTTCCCAGGACCGACGGCAGAATGCTCAGTAAAGCTCGAATGACCTTCAAGTGTGGAAACTCCCGATGGTTCGGACGCTGCAGAAATTTCATAAACGGCAGTGTCACCCAAAAGTTCATTATAAAAAGTTTTAGAAGTTCTGTAAGGCAGTTGTACTTACACGAAGAACCAGGTGCTCTTCCACCTGCCTCATAAGTTTCAGGAGGCGTCAAGTCAGTAGATACTTCATTCTCTATAAAGCTTTCATTTTCAAAGGCGCTGAAAGTTGAGAAAGTTCTGTTGAACGCAATTCTTTCCGAAGTATTGTAAGGTGAAGTTTCGGTAGACCCGCGTTCATGCCCTGCAAAGGTTTCATTTTCTTCAGAGATCTCAGACCTACTGGAAGTTTTAGTCCATTCAAATTGCCTAGAACCTGTATGTGAACCGGTGCCTAAAAAGGATGGGCTCAATTCCATACTTTCAGAAGCATTGAACGGTACATACGTTCCTGGATATGTCGAGTCAACCGGGACGTTGTGCTCTGCAGAGCTTTCATTTTCGGAAGTGCCGAAAGATGCGAACGTTATGTTGAACCCGATTTCTTCAGACGTGTTGTGAGGCCCTTGTTCTGTTGTGTTGGATCTGGGCTCATAATCCGTAGATGTTTCATTTTCCTCAGATGTTTCAGCTATACTGGATTGTCCGGAATGTGTAAGTGGTTCAGTGGCAAAGTAGGATGCGTTCAGCCCTTCGGTTTCAGAAGCATTGAAAAGTGTATTTGTCAAATCGACCGAAGCTCTATTTTCTGTAAAGCTGTCGTTTTCGGTGGTGATGAATGATGGCAATGTACTGTTGAACCCAAACTTTTCTGTTGTATTAGAAGGTCCAAGTACTGTTGTGTTTGACCTGGGTTCATAACCTGTAAAGGTTCCATTTTCATCAGTGATTTCGGTGCTATCCAAGGCTCCTGTCGTCCTGAATATTCCAGAGCCTGTAGGTGATTCAGTGCCAAAAAAGGATGCGTTCAAACTTATGTGTTCGGAAGTATTCAAAGGTAGATAAGTCACAGGATGCGTGTAGTCAACCGAGGTTTCATTCTCTACAGAGCTTTTATTTTCAGGAGAGGTGGAAGAGGAGGAAATTCTTCTGGATTGATTAGGTTCCCATGCATCAGAAGTTTCAGGTTGTGTTATGTTTGAACTGGACTCATATACTGCAGAGGTTTTATTTTCCTCAGAGATTTCGTAGCTACCAGTGACTCCTGTCGTTTCAGATTGACTAGAACCGGTATGTGAACCGGTGCCTAAAAACGACGTGCTCAATTTTATACTTTCAGAAGTATAGAAAGGTACATACGTTCCTGGATGCATCCAGTCAACCGAGGCATTGTGCTCTGCAGAGGTTTCATTTTCAGAAGTCCCGAAAGATGCGAAGGTTATGTTGTAGCCGATTTCTTCAGACGTGTTGTGAGGTCCCTGTTCTGTTGTGTTGGATATGGGTTCATAATCCGTAGATGCTTCATTTTCTTCAGATGTTCCAGTGTTACTGGATGGTCCGGATGGTGTAAATGGTTCCGTGGCAAAGTAAGATGTGTTTAGCCCCTTGGTTTCAGAAGCATTGAAAAGTGTATTTGTGAAATCAACCGAACCTCTATTTTCTGTAAAGCTAATATTTTCAGGGGTGATGAATGATGACAATGTACTGTTGAACCCAAAATTTTCTGATGTATTGGAAGGTCCAAGTGCTGTTGTGTTTGACCAGGGTTCATAACCTGTAAAGGTTCCATTTTCATCAGTGATTTTGGTGCCATCCGAGGCTGCTGTCGTCCTGAATATTCCAGAGGGTGTGGGTGATTCAGTGCCAAAAAAGGATGCGTTCAAACTTACGTGTTCAGAAGCATTCAAAGGTAGATAAGTCGCAGGATGCGTGTAGTCAACCGAGCCTTCATGCTCCATAGAGCTTTTATTTTCGGGGATGGTGAAATATGAGTACGTCTTGTTAAATACAGTAATTTCCGACGTATTGGAAGGTTCAAATTCTGTTATATTCGACGTGGGTTCGTATACTGCAGAGGTTTCATTTTTGTCTGAAATGTTGGAGCTACCGAAGGTTCCAGTCGTCCTTGAATATATAGAAAATGTAGGTGGTCCAGTGCTTGACAGGGATGTGTTTAACCCTGTTGTTTCAGAAGCACTGAAGGGTGTCAGGGTCCCAGAATATGTCAAGTTCACCAAGATTTCATTTTCTGTCGAGGTTTCATTTTTGGAGATGGTGAAAGATGGCAGACTTCCGTTGAACCCAACGCTTTCCGATGTATTGGAAAGCACATGTTGTGTTGTGTTTTCTCGGGGTTGATACCATGTAGAGGTTTCATTTTCCTCAGAGATTTGTGTGCTACCGGAGGTTCCGATCATCGTTGGGTGTTTGGAACTTGCGGATGATTCAGTGCCAGAAAAGGATGTATTCAATTCTGCGGTATTTGAATAATTGAAATATACACGAGTTCCGGAATGCGTCAAATCAACCGATGCTTGATTATCTGTAGAGCTTTCATTTTCAGGGGCGCTGAAAGATGAGGAAGTTTCGATTGATTCAATATTTTCCGAGGTATTAAGATATTTCGGTTGGGTTGTGTTTGAAGTGGTTTTATAACCTGAAAATGTTTCATTTTTTTCTATATCGTAGCTAGCGGAGGTCTCAGTCGTACCGAAAACTATTGAGCCTGTAAGTGCTTCAGTACTGAATAAGGTTGCGTTCAACGTCATGTTTTCCGAAAAACTGTAAGGTATCAGAGTTTCGAGTTGGGTTATGCTTATTGAGGCTTCGCTCCCTGTAGAATTTGCATTGATAGAAGTGCCAAGAATTGACAGCGTGCTGTTGAATTCAACTCTTTCCGGTGTGTTGGAAGGCTCAGGCAGTGTTGTGTATGAACTGTCTTGATAACCTGAGGTGGTCTTATTTTTCTCAAGACTATCATAGCTACGGAAGGTTCCAGTCGTTTCGGAAATTCTTGAAGCTGAAGATAATTCTGTGCCGAACGTGGATATGTGTAACGTCATGTTTTCGGAAAAATTGGAAGGTATCACAGTTTCAAGTTCCGAAACGTTTATCGGGACTTCACTTCTTGGAGAGCTTATAGTTGCAGGAGTACCAAGAGGTGACAGCGTTGAGTTAAACCCGATTTTGTCCGATGTGTTTGAAGTTACAGGTAGTGTTGCTTTTGAAGAGGGTTTATACCCGGAAAAGGTTTGAGGGAACTCAGTTGTTTTCAAGCTCTCAGAGGTGACAGATATTCCTGGAGGCATTAAACCTGCGCTGGCTTCGGAGACTGCAGGGCTTGGTAACGACTCGCCTAACCCCGGAAGGCCTGGTGTCATGGAGGCACCCGGAGCTGTTGAGCTCAGCCGTGTCTCTTGGGTGATTGTGACATCGGTCCTCACGCTGTATCTTCCTTTACCCTGAAGCTCTGTGAAGAAGGCCGAATATTCGCCGTCGTTTTTAGTTAGGTCAGGCCCTGCGTAAGAGAGCAGAAACAAGCTCAGTTTTCCTGTGATATATGTGAAGAAAATCCTAAAAAAAGTATTATATATATATATTTACTGGTCTGACAGGCCCAGCATCATGAAAGTACAAACAGGGGTCTCTGAAACCTAAATATAGCATAAACTATTGAAGTTTATGCTAAGAAACGCGGGATCAATTTTCCAATTCTTAACTTTACCATCTAATTAATCCAGTTCGTTTTTACTTCTTGCGGCATAATACGCGGCTTTCATCGTTTCTATTCTTTGCACCTTTGTGTAAACAAAGCGTAGGAGTGTTTTTATTGGGTAGTTTTCGTAGGTCGTTCCGATACCTCTGGTAACAGTAGGGAGTTTTAGCTAGTCGTTTCCACACGAAAGGTTCGTCCTCAAACGCACCGCCGACGCCACCAGCATGAGTGCTCTAGTCGTTGGGGGCTTTTGCAGGCTGTTCTCGTTCGTTTCTTCCACTCCGGCCGAGGGAGTCGTCACCGCAACGCAACCAGCACACTTGACTACTCGGGTAAGAAAATATGGCGGTTAGTTTAGCGACTGGTTCTGCCGACCCTGCTGAGCGTTAGGCTGAGGACTGCAGAAGGCAATTTTCCATCCTGTTATTCTGCTTCATTTGAGAAACGGAACCAAATCATTTCGAGCAATGCTCACAATGGTTAGCGATCGTGAATGCCCTAAACTACGGATGCTAGTCAATCTTTGCGAATTGCGGGCTGACTAGCTGCCGCGGCGACCGCGAGCAGACGAAATGGTTGGGTTCGACGGCACCCAACGTGACCGATCGTTCATGTTCAAGATGACGGATGCACTCCACCTACCTTTGCGGTCGTTCAGACGCTTTTTACTGTATCTAGCTTTGCAGGTCTTGACATTCCGACCGGTAAATGTTACGTCTGCCGTCTTGTTTGCATTAGTCGTGCTCCAGCAACACGAGTTGCCGCGGTGGCCATGGATTTGCAGGCAACAGAATGTTTCACATGCATACTAGAAAATGGCGCTGCCGATCAGGGGCAATCATCATCATCGTTTACACGGTTGCGCCAGTTTTACGATTTGCTAATATGCGTTAAATTTTACGTACTGTATAACGGAACGGACAAGGAACTGTGTGCTCCAAAAACAACTCCCTAAAACTCCCTGATACCCGACAACGATACTATGCACGCGCAAAGGTGACGGTGGAGAATCAGGTATCGTTATCCCAGTTCTCGGAACGGTCTACTAAACTTTACTTGTGCTTCGTTTTAGCCAACGAAACTCAAGCACTCAGTTGGGAAACTCACCCTTAAAACCAAGACCGCTCGCGTCCACCGAAACCAAATTAGATACGAAAATAGCGCCACCTTTTAGGACGAGTCAAAACCAAAACGTTAATTTATACCGCATCTGCGAAACGGCACCGCAAGACGGGGCCACCGGCTCCTGCGGGACTCTACTAGAAATGATTCCTGCAGACGTTCAGTTCCCGGAATGGCCACTGCTGGAGAAAAGGCGGCGTTGCGATCGCCTTTAGTTAGGTTCTCGAGTACTGATCGAAGCCACTTTTTCAAAGCAGGCTCTATGGAAGTTTCTCAACTGAGTTGTTCTACTAACGTTGGTTTCAGCTGCAGTCCAGACGCATATCTGACGCTACGAGCTAATGGAACCAATTAAGCAGTGTCAAAATCGCAAGTCACTGGGTCTTTTCTGTTTATGACTGCTTTCAGCGATGATAGAACACTCATTGGTCCCATCAGTAGCGTCGTCTGCACCTGGAGACAATGCAATGAAAACAAAGTTTGTTTTATTTAAGAGCATACATAAGACACGTACTTTTTGCAATTTTTTCACAAGAAGAAAAAATAATGCGCATTATTTACGCTGTTATTCGTAATTTAGATGGAGGTCACGGCCCACTCTAACCCCCGCATCTAAATCAGTTTCTCCGCCCATTACTTGTGGATTAGCTTGGCTGCTCGGCCGAACACGCTAACAAGCCTTGTGTCTCTCTTTCACGACATCCGGCGCGTCTAGTCTGGCGTCTGACAACGGCTGCTGCACGTCTCACTAAACCGTGCAGTACAGCCGAAGCTTCAGGAGAGAGAGCGTATGCTAACTTGTTCAAGAGGAAGGAAAGGAGGAACGGCAGAGAAGAATTGGGGTTTTACCGTTCTCTCTTTTCCTCATCTTAAACAGGTCGGGATATTCTCTCCCCTGCAGCTTTGGCTGCACTGCACGGTTGTAGCGAGTCGCTGGAGTCGCGAATATCGCGACTCCAGGGAACTATAGGGGGCGCGCTGGTCAGGCAAGATGGCGGACGAAAGGAGGTCGTTTTCGTCGTTCAGCCACGTCGATCCCCACAAATTACTTGCACTGCAGCATAAAA